AACAGGAACCACCTTTGGTGGGAAGGTAACAGCATTCTGTGTGCCTTCAACGTTTAGTCATGCCGGCCACATGACCATGGAGACATCTTTGGACAGCGCTGACTCTTCGGCTTTGAAACAGAGGTGAGCACCGCCCCCTAGAGTCGGGAACGACAAGCATATATGTGCGAGGAGAACCTTTACCTTTACCTGTGACAAGCCAGCTGATAAAGCAAAAGCATCCTGCAGCCAACTGTGACAAACGTGAAGAACAATTCTTTTTCTAGCACACCACATAGCACCCAGGAGAGTAAATCCACTTTTATACCACACAAAAATCCACTCATTGGGGCTGTTCAAAGCATTTTAAGGAAGTGTTTGCCTAGCACTTCAGCATCTCTTTTCAAAGCATTAAAAGCAGACAAGGGTTTATTTGGCGGGGGAGGCTTGTTTTGAAGGGTGTTCCTGGCTCTGAATATATATGTACACAAAGTTACTTTGCTTTATTGGCCTGCCGCTTCTCTCCCACAGTAAACTAGCCCATCAGAGAGAAAAATTTAATGTCCTATTGAGTGTCATGCTTTAGTGCATGCAGGTATTTATTTTAGATGTTAAAGGATTGAAACAATTTACCGTATTTAAAATATATTGACTAGTGCCTTCCTTTGTTATGACTATATAAGAGGAAGTCTATGGTTAGCACAACTGAGGTTTCCTGAAGTGAAAGGGCAAGGAGGGCAGATATATTCCAAGAAACTTGGATAGATGCAAAGAAAATACTTGATGCTATTAAACAAGAAATTGTTTTGCCAAGGGAACATGAGGAGATCTCCAGGAAGCCACGAATAAAAAAATGTGAAAGGGAGCAAAGAGAAAAGCAGCAGAGGCCAAATGAACGAAATTGTATAGCATCTGGGATTACACAGTGACTCTACAATCCCATGGAATTTTTGGACTTTAGCAAAGAGATCAGAACCGTCTATTTATGGCCCAAGTCACATCAGAGTCATATTTCTGTGGTTTCCAGAAGCCTGTTTGACACAGCTGCTGAAGATAATAGCAGTTTCCCACAGTTTTGAGATGGAGCATCACCAGATGAAAAGTTTAATATATGCCCTAAAATTGACCCACCACAATTAAGCCTCATAGCCCCCAAAACCTAACAACCATAATTCTGAGCTCAGTTACAGTTGTAAGTCCAGGACCGTAGTCAGAATTGTTTTCATTTCGTATTATACAGATCTCTTCAGGTTAAAATGTAATTGCTTCTTCAAGAATATCTTTGTTCTTAAATTGGAATTAAGTTAATCAGTGGGCTTCATTTTTTAAATAAAACATACACTGCATATTCTAATTTTGCATTAGCCAGCTATTATACATCTACAATGCTTTGTTATTGAGAAATAGAGAACCATACCCTTTCCTACTTACAATTTTTATATTAACATAAATCTCACAAATGCTTAATGATTGTAGACCAGCAACACTTTTATTCTTTACTTGGTACAAGGCAATTAACAGATGCCTATTAATATTTCACAAATAGTTATTAGCAATACAAATATATATTTGTTTTTCCATGAAAATGTCCATTGAAAGATTTTTAACTTAAAAGATTGTTTTTGCGTATATGTGAAACTATTGTTTTGCAAAGTTTATAAGATATTCCAGTGCAAAAATAGATCCCATTACAGCCAGCATAAAGTGCTTGGAATGAAGGATCAATCAGATTAGAGAAGGGAGGGGATTGGAACAAAACTGGGAGGAAAGCAGGGACTTACTATACGTATTAACTTCTGTAAGAAATATATTCATATGAAACTATACAGTATCACAAATACTGCAGAAGGATAACAGCAATTTTAATCACATAACATGAAGTAAATATTCTTGCTCAGTTCCTTGACCAGTGGTTTTATATCATACCACAGAGAGCAATTAGGACATGGATGTCAAATTCAAGGCCTGCGGGCTGGATCCAGCCTAGGGGATGCTTAGATCTGGCCCACAGGACCACCCTGGAAACAGCGATGGACTGGCTTGCGGTGCCTCTTCCAGCGAAAATGGAGCTTGGGAGGGCTGTGTGCGGCTCTCCTGGGCTCCGTTTTCACTGGCAGAGAGCTGCAGGAGGTTGTTGCAGCCAAAAAATGAAGCCCAGGAGGGCCGCATGTGGGCTGCATGACATCGAACTGGCCACACCTAAGCAGGCCCCCCGAGGACAAACACAACCCTGATGCAGCCCTCAATGAAATTGAGTTTGACACCCCTAAAGTAGTATAATTTTGGCTAACTTATCTGATACTAAGGAAAATTTCTATGCAGTGATTTACCAGTATTTATTGTGGAGCAAACCTAGCCTGGATCTCCATTCTTAGCAAGAAGTACTTCTAGAAATCATTATTTCTCATGAAACAGATCAGTAAGGATTTGAAAGCAAGGGGAATATGTGATTACTCCTGTACTGAAGTCCCACTGTGATCAGTAGAGCTAACTGCCAAGTTACCCTGCATAGGATTTCAGCCTTATATTGGAAATTTACACAGCTGTCATTTAACTCTAAGCCAGTTATTTTGGGTTACTGTTGTGTCAAGGGATTGTACAGTTAATGCTTACCTTCGTTTGAATTGTGTTAAATTAGCAAATGTGTTTTAAAACTATACTAAAATAGAGTATTTATATTTGTAGAAAAAATAGCTACTAATATGGAGAAAGACGGGGGGACGACTAAATTGCAGGTCATTGAAAGTTGGGTGCAAAAAAAGTACACAGGACTCAGACTGATGTCCTGCTGACTTCAAAAGGACTTAGTGCAACTAATCATTTCAGAATTTTACTTGCCTTGGGACATGTCTGAAATATTAGTATATGCCAGCCGTAATGAGCACGTGTTGGTTTGTTATCCAGTACTACAAAAAAATGTTTGTACCAATTTTGCTTTGCCTAGTTTTTTATTTAAAGATACTATCTGGGCTGATTGGAAAAAAAAGCTTCCATATAAATTTCCAAATAAGCAATTGTTTAAAAAATGGATCATATTTTTTTAATTATATATTAGTTGCTTACCATCCACATATCCAACTTTTAATACCTACCTTCAATCCATATCTGGAGTAGGAGGTCAGTGTATGTGCCACATAAAAGCCATGGAGTAAGAGAAATGGAAGGACTATGGAAACTCAAGACTTCAAGAGCCCCAGCTGTTTTATTCTGGAAAGTTTTCTCCAACCTCAACCCAACGCAAAGTAGGAGATCACCATTTTTGTGATTTAAAATTATATGAAAACCAGGACAGAGGTGACGATATAACTGAAGATTTTCAACATTGATGGAAATAATGCTATATGCATTTAGATATTTTGTGGTAGGCAGGAAAACAGATACCCTAGTATGGGTGATAATAGAGAGTTCTTCAGAGATTGCTGAGTGTCTCCTACAGAAAGTACTTTTACAAGAAAACAGACATGTCAAGCTTAAGTAAAGAAATATAAAAACAGCAACAGTTCCACAACAAAAGCAAAGGGGGGAAACCAAGCAATTGGTCACCATACCATTAGGACAGAAATTGTCTCAGATGCTTTGATGTTAATAGTTGATTCTCCTACAAGCCATTAAGAAACATTGAATTCAGAGTAGCCTATTTTGACGGTGTGCTTCATGGCCCACTACTAAGAGCCCTAATGGTTGTCATACCAGTCCCCTCAAGCATGTATGGGTCAACCAGGCCAATAGCTAATACTAAAATAAGGCCACAATATTGCACTGGATGTGACTGCTGGACACTGATTCTGTTGATGCATTCATTGCCAGCAATGATGTTGTGCCCAAGCAGTTCCTTTCCCTGTGCGGAGGGGGCTGTTAGCATGGTGAATAAATAAATCACTGGCCACAAATCTCTGAACTGTTGTTACGTAATTCTTAACACAAAACATACTAAGTAGAAACAACTGGGAGTATGGCAGAAGACAACGTAGCAGCAAGTGGCACCATATTAGAGTTTCACAGAATTATAATGTAAGAATAGCTAAATTCAAGTCTTTCACTAGAGAACAGTACAACAAGGCAACATCTCCCAGAGGCCTGCCTCTGTAGTGGAATATTGTTTTGTTTGCATTGAATTGCATTGCATTGAAAGATTAACCAGTACAATGTCCCATTTATAATTTCCATCTCCATCTCCTCGGCCTCGATCTGTTTCCACTTGGGAAGATCCCATCTATAATACAGAAAGGATGAACCTTTCCCCCTTCTGCTCAGTGCGACCATTGCGTCCTTCTGAGGAAGGTTATTCATACGCAGCTTTCCTTCACCTTTTCATCTTGCAAAAAGGAAGTCAAATTAGCTACATCTACCACAGTCTGGTTTTTGTGCAACGACAAGTCTTTCATGTGGTCATCATCACTTTGGTCCTTGGCGAAGTTTACAAATACCTGAGAGAAGAGACAAAAAGGTGGGCATCAATAATGAGATCATCACAGGGAGATGTTGATTCCTCTTTGTCACCTATTTGTTGTGGCCCATTGGCAGCCAGCAGAGTTGGACAGTGAGGAGGTTGTGGAGGAACATGGGCTAGTCCTAGAGGCTGAGGAAAGCTCAGACAAGGGCTCTTTGTTGGAGGCAGAGAGGAAGCTAGACAGCAGTGAGGCAGAGGAACAGCTGGAGTCTGTTCCCAGTGTGCGCATGTGCAGAGCTGCCAGACGACAAGAACAACTAAGAAAGCAGGGTCGACTTAGGAGTAAAGGCATACCTTGGAGGTGATTAGCCTCTCCCATAGGAAACAAAAGAGGAACGAACGGGGAGTGGGCTTTTATAGGAAACAATTCATTCATTCAGTCATTTCAAGAGTGGAAAGTTCTGTATGTGACTATAAGAGATTGTGTGCCAAGTTTTGTCTTGTTCTGCATTTGGAAACTAGTTATCTGGCACCTCTCCAAACGAAATAAGGTTCGGGTTGATAAATATTCCTCTGAAAGACTTTGCTATGTCTTGCTGACTGAATGAAAGGAATTCATAGTTGTGTAAATAAAAGGGGTTTTGCCGGAACCAAGACTCTGCTTCTTGCTTTTTAAGGAAGCCTGGGTCAGAAGACTATTGTGACTGGAGTGAATATCAACCAACAGAGAAAGAACCAAGGTGGTAACTGAAGTGTGAAAGTGAATAAATTAAAGCTCAGGATCGCAATCAAGGAATGAGATCTTGAGACGCGGTCCCCCCCCCCCCCCCAATTTTATGCTATCAACTTACTTGGTCAAGTGTGGTCTGGGAAACGGAGTAGTCTTCTATGTGGAATCTCTTTTTGTTCTGGGAGAGGATACTAAATATCCTAGCCAGAGAGGATGGAGAGGATGGGAGCTGATATTGCAGCATGTTGCGATGCTTCTCCTTCAGCACGCTTCCTGGAAAAGCCAGCTTGAAGAAGTTCTCAACAGGCGTTAAGTCAGGATTTGCCCCTGCTATTCGTACAATTATTGTGTAGCCATCTCCAAACCTAAAACGTAAGGAAAGCAGAGGTACTCAGCCATGGTTATCCTAAGTTTTAAAAAGACATCATAGCTGTAATGTCTTCTGGCTTTCTCACAGGTCATTTATGATCCTAAAAAAAGGTGCCATTGATTTCAAAAGTACCACATAATCATAGTCCTGGAGGTTAATGAGAAAAGCCTCAACATGCTCATTGATCCATGATAAACCAAATTTTGACAGCCATTTTTCTTTGATGAGGATCTAATATATATGATTACAGTGTCATGTACTTTCAAGTATTCATTAATTATTTTGGCATGAATGCCAAATAGTCCATACAACTTGCAACTAAACATAAAAAGGAAAAGTAATGTAAGCAACAAGGTCCTGATATGTCTTTATTTGGACAAGCAGAGGAAAATGCTTATCTGTGATTTTGAAATAACTTTCAGAACAAGCTTATATCATTTTCACTGATCTATGAGTGATCCAAAAAATGCTAATCTTACAAGTCTTTATGTGTTTTACAAGAAATTCTATGTCAGGAATGAATTGTTATTTATTTTATAGTCATCACAATAATAAACAAAATGGACAGCAATGCAAGTATCTGTATATGATATGACACCTCATTAGATTTATTAGGCATGTGTTTCAATATTTTAATCTTAAATGTTCTTCAATGGGAGTTAAATGATGGAATAGTGAAAAATCTTTAAGTTTCTGACATCCTTTCAATTCCCTTATATTACCAGGAAAATAGGTAAGATGTAATATTAAACTTGCCCTATTTTTACATTATTTTCCTTAAATGTAAATGTAAGTTAATTCAATCAATAAATTAGCGAATTGGAAAACTGGGCAATTGCCTAAAAAACTATTTTCTGTGACTATGGGACTAGGATAAAAAGTAATGGGTATAAATTGCAGCTGTCTAAATTTTGCTTAAATAAGGAAAGGAATAAAGAAAAAAATCTGATCATAAGAGATGTATGTACATAAATAAATAGAACAGTCAATCTACAGTCTATTTTAAGGACGATGTGAGTTGTTCATATCTGAAGTTTTTAAAAAATCCACTTCAGGCTTTTAAGAAGAGACTGGACAACCCCACTAATAAATGTTTTAACTGTGTGGGGTTTTTTCTGCATATTGCAGAAGGCTCATGGTCCTTCCAAATCCTATGAAATAAATCTATTGCTGACTTCATGCAAAACGTCTATAGAGATTCTCAGTCATCCATGTCATGGTTGTCCCAAGGGTGCTTTTTCAGGAGGCAACTGGACTTTCTTGTTTTTTCTTTGAAGATGTTTCGCTTCTAATCCAAGAAACTTCTTCAGCTCTGACTGGATGGTTGGGAATGGAAGGATTTATATTCCTTGCAGACAGCTGGTCATTTGCATCCTTTTAGAGGGCCGTTGAAAGAATGCAAATGACCAGCTGTTTGCAAGGAATATAAATCCTTCCATGCCTCACCATCCAGTCAGAGCTGAAGAAAAAATAAGAAAGTCCAGTTGCTTCCTGAAAAAGCACCTTTGGGACTTTGTGCAAAGTTTTTTTAAATCATTATAAAAATCTTACTGTGAACTAGCCATCTTTCAAAACAGAAATGCATATATTGGCATAAAAATAGGAGGGACCAAGCAGTTTTACCTGTTCTTCAAGTGTTGGACACTGCCAAGGCACCTGAACCGTCCATTCACCATGATTGCCATTCGAGTGCAGAGGGCCTCACATTCTTCCATGCTATTTGAGGGAAAAAACAGATTCATTATACAAATGAATTGTTTGACAGGTTTTTTTTAAGGATGTATGCATTATAACAATTAAAGGAAAATAATAAATAATTACATGAAAGGGAAAAAGAAATATAAAGAGACATTGGATAACAAGCAAAAAGAGAAAATAGTTTACAATTATCAGAATTTAAAATTCATTGTTTCATTCAGTCGTTAATACAACTAAGTTCATTATGTCATCTTGAAAAATAATTAGACATGTATACAAAATTGCCCTTGTTTGTCATTGTTCCAAACATAAGATGCTATAATCATGTAAAGGAAAAGGAAAAACAAAAAACTAACAATGAAAAAGGAGAAAAATCAGTAAAAATGTTATTAAACAACATAGTTTAAAATTCTCTCATTGTGCACAACTCCTAATTATATCAATCTATTTACTTTTTACTGTCTTCATGATGATTATTTCCCTTTTAACATTCATACATATTTAGTGATTTTTGGAATGCACATCTGTTTTAATTCCTCAAGAAACAGGTAGCTTTGGATATGCAGGGTTTGGATCTCTTAAGATATTAAAATATCTTCTTGTAAGCAAGAGAACCATCCCTTTCCCACTTTTAGCCATTCTAGTAGGGACCTGTCTCCTACGGATCCAAGTTTTTTCCATGGAGAAAAACCTTTCCCACCCACAAGTACTTTCCTTGGTCACACACACACAAACGCACACAAAAAGCTTAGAACCATAGGAACCATATTATGTATATAGTAACAAGGGCCATAAGAAAGAGATAGCTGTGGAGGTGGATATGCTGCCTTCTGCTGGTCTAAGCAAGCCTCACTACCTAAAATTAAATAAAATATTCAGAAAATGCATTTTCTGCTTTATTACTAAGCGGTCATATGTAAAAGAAGAAAAGATTATTAGCCTATTCTGCCCTATTTTGTTTTATGTTTACTCAGGTAGATGGACCTGTTGTTCCATTAAACTTTTGTGAATTTTCCTCCTGGCAAAATTTACATCAAGAATAGTCTGTTATGTTTCTAACATATGTCACAATTCAAGGGAGAGGGAAGGAGAGTAAATGGGCTCTAAGTTGAAAATCATGCAAAACAGTTTTTGTATGCTGTTATCGCTTACCTGTGAGATGTAAGGACCACGGACCTTCCCTCTTTGATGATGCTCAAGGCACAGTTCCAAAGGAAGCGGCGGGCCTTGGGATCCATTCCTGTAGTTGGCTCATCCTTCAATTAACACAGATTAAATTCATTGGTTTCACCATTACTGCCATGGTAGAGTGCTTATTGTCAACCAAGTTTACCCTCAGAAGACAAGGGCTTAGTATTCAATTATACTGTACATTTCCTGGAATAAGGTGCTAAATGAAATTAGGGAAAAACTCAACTATTGCTAAATCTCACTTGAAGATTGAAATGGAACTTGAAATTTTTCCATTAAAAAAAAAAACCTCTGCAAATAGTGTGGTAGGGAGAAAGGGTGATAGAAGCTGCCTCTTTCATTTGCCAACATGCAGAAGGAGATATAGTCCATAAAACATGGTGTCATTTACACCTGCCAGTAACAACAGACTCTATGACTCATCATGAGACACAAGAGTTGCTACCCAACCTCTGGAGAGCCAAAGATTCTTGAAATAGAATACTGAAAAAATGAACTTTATCAACTATCTTCAGTTAAATTATGATATATCATATCAATTTTAATGAGCTAAATTGTTAGTGAATTGTATTTATTCTTATGGCACGTGTCAAGTGCCAAATTAACACTATGATTTGCTTCCACTATAAGGGTTTTTTTTTGGGGGGGGGGAGGTTGCAATTCATAATCTGCTTCTGACAGCAAAGTAGTTTTGGTTGACACTCTTCATGAAATCTTCCTAGTTTTAATGAGATGTGTTACTAATGTGATCATATCTATACTTACCAGGAAGACCACAGGAGGCCCCCCGATTAGAGCCATTGCAGTAGACAACTTGCGCTTGTTCCCACCACTGTAGGTGCCGGCATATTTTTCAGCATATTTTACAAGGCCTAGTTTACGGACAGCCCATTCACCAACCTGCCAGATGGAAGAGCAACATGAGAATTGAAATACGGTCTCCATAATTTAGAGCAGAGGATAATTTAACTCCTGTTCATTAATCTGCTATCTGTACTTTCTGTTTCAAAGTAAAAATGCTGTTGTGAATATGAAGGTTGCTCACATTGCATCTGCCTGCAATTCTTTAAAGCAGCTGTATCTTTCCCAAATCTCATGGCTGCCCCAGCTGCTGTGTGATCATGGGAAAAGAAGCATCAGGTTGAAAGGGTTGTAGATAATGCAATGTGCATATCCCCCTGTACTTCAAATCATCTTTCTGTTTTTGAATCCACATAGGCTTCTTAGGTATCCTAAGTGAACTTAGTATGGTTCGTACCAACAAATAGACAATATTGGAAGAACGCTTGGATTTTCTGGTTCATGGTTGGTTACAGAGGCATAAGAAAGTTAAAAATAATTTTAACAAAATCAGTTTCCCTTTCTTGAGAATGGAAAATACAAAAAGCAATCTAAGAAAGACCCTCCTTCCTTCCTTCCTTCCTTCCTTCCTTCCTTCTTTCCTTCCTTCCTCATCTCAACAAATGACTCTGGAGGGCGCATACAAAATTAATAAATGAACAAAAAACGACTGTGAAGCAATCAGAAGTTCCCCAGCAGAAAGGGAACTACAATCCCCATAGCCAGTTTGTAAAATACCCCACATTTAGGAAGGAATTTAGCTTATATAGGCTTGGAAATGATATAGGGTGGGCTACAAATGAATTTGATATAGACGGTATTTCTATCTTTTCTGTCTCATTTGTTTTTTCTTATAATTTTGTATAATATTTTTCTAAGCCACCAATAAGAACATATGGTGAAACATACAAAGCATGAATGTCATGTCTTCTTTAAGAGACAGGAAGTATATGCTTATTTCTGTACACTCCATTTAATTACCAGCCATGGGGAGTTTGTGGTGGCAATTAAGTTGGGTGGTTCTACTTCTGCCTGTATCATTTTACCTTGCAGACTTCTTTCTCAGGAACTCCCCTTAAGAGCGCAAAGAATTCCAGGTGTTCTCGCCCAGTCAGCAATTCCTGAATGGCATCAAACTGAGGACAGTAGCCCATGTTCTGATGGACTTCTTCGATGTTAGACAAAATACTGTGAAGAAATGAGACCGTTTCTTAAAGACTTGCCAGTTTTGCTCCAGCTGTCTGACAAAATTCTCAGACTTGAACATCCAAGGCAGAAATAGAGCTGTTGGGGGCCATAGGCTGACTTGTAAACTGCTTAGAGGGGGCTGTAAGTCTAAACGCTATTGCTATGGGCTAAGTCAGGGGTCGCCAAACTGGGCCACAGCCTCTTGGCCACCGGGCAGCATGAGAGGTTGGCCAGAGCAGTGCATGTGCATGGCTGCACATACACACACACACACACACAAACACCACTTGCGCTAGTGTCGGCAAGCGCTCACGTGCACACATGCATGCATAAAAGCACCTGACCTTCCAGGCTGCCAACCCAGAAAGGTTGGAGAACTCTGTGCTAAGTTATAATTGTGAGTGGTGAATAGATAAAGCCACAGGTAGTTCTCATTTAGTGACAATTTGTAAAGATGGTGATAAGACGGTAATTTTGTTACCAATCCTCATATTTATGACCTTCATATAGCCAAGGAAAGCTGAAGTAAGAATCGCTGCTATCTCACTTAACAACTGCTTCATTTAACAAACACGTTTCTTTTCCCAATTGTGGTTGCTAAATGAGTTCTACCTGTAAAGTTTTCTTCATACCTGTTTCCCTTCAGAAAAGCATCTCCTCCTGTAACATCAGTGTCTCCAGTCAACATCTTGAAAGTGGAAGATTTCCCTGCGCCATTCACGCCCAAGAGGCCAAAGCACTGAAACCATTAAGAGTTACAATATCAGCACACCATCAAAGCATATATATATATGTGTGTGTGTAGAAAATCAAAGTGTGTGTGTGTGTGTGCTTTGATCTTCTACACATAAATTGGTGCAGGTTTTTTCTAATCCTTAAAGCTGTATAGTTTTTATATTTTTATAGCATTCTGTATGCAGGTTTTTTGGTAATCCAAGCATATATATGTTTGTGTGTGTGTGTGTGTGTGTGTGTGTGTGAATCATTCCACATCACTACCATGACGTAACCATGTACTTGAGGCTTTCCATTACTACAAGCCTCCATGTGAATTTTTCAATAATTGCTTTATCCTTTAGTCCTTGAGTAATATATTACATTAAATTTACAAGCATAAAGACTGGAAAGCTTTACCTCTCCAGGAGGGATTCCAACACAGATCCTATCCACAGCAGGTTTCTGTTTCATTCTGTACCTCTGGAAATAGTAACAAATTGGTTTGTAGATGACAACAATTCAATTTTACAAATTGTACCCCTTCACCTCTCTTCTCTTTCCAGGCATGGTTTTCCAAATTTTTATCTTCCTTTCTATTAGCTTTTTCTATTTGCATCAACTACAAGCCTCTTCAGGAAAACCACGCACAAGTTAACATGTGAGCAACTCTGTTCTGCCTTTTTATATCCAGTGAAACCCTGAAAGGGTAGCATCAATTTACACATTTAATGACTTATGCTTAACGCCTTTATGGGAGAAATTTTCTTCAGCAGCAATATTAGGTGGCAATCAACAGCAGGTTTCAGTATCCAGTCTTCGAAAAGATGTATAAATGTTCAAAGAGAAATGTCATTTTCCTATAAGCACAACTTAATTTGTTGTTTCCCTCACCTTGGTTAATTCTTTGATTTCTAAGATGTCACTCTGTCCACCACCACCGATGATCCTCTGCCTTTCTCTAATCACATCCTCATCCTCTTCGTTTACAGGTGGAAGCTTTGCACTGATAGGCCTTTGGGAAACAGGGTGAAAAAGGAATATATTGTGTTAAAACTTATTTCAGCACTCAAATTTCAAATTGTGCTACGTAACAGATACGCTACTGGACACCATCACAATATGTGGAACTTAGTTGATCCTCTTTCCCAATTTACAAAAGTTAAAACTCACACTTAGTTAAAGGCAAGCCCAAGGCACATTCCAAAAATTACCATTCTACTTTAACATTTTAAAATGAACTCCCAAGATGCTTTAATCATTCATCTAAAAATCAAAAGGTAGCAAACATCAGTACCAGAGAAAAAAACATCTATGCCATACTGTAAAAGCAGAATGCGTCCTGATTAAGATTTGCTTATTGACAAATCTAGGTTTGCTTCCATGAGTTATATGAAATAACTGTCAGATTGGGGTGAAAAATTAAATTGGAAAATTGAGATACTTCAAATTAAAATGTTGGTTTTGGTACGTTAGCAGAGGAAGAGTAGAATTAACAGACAAAATGGATGGAGTAGGGGGAGACCAAAAAAATGAAGGACTACAAAGTTCTAGGAGTATTACTGAAACCAAGTCTATGGTAAATTGTAGAATAAATTTGAGTTATTAGTATAAAAAATGAAGGTAAAGTTTTTGATCTTAACACTAATCCCCCATTTCTCCTCTTCTAACCCTTTCAGAGGAAATTTTTTTTTGTCCTTCTGTAATGTAAACAGGCATTACAGGTAGGCCTCAGGTTACGACGACAATCGAGACAAGAATTTCTGTTGCTAAGCAATAAGAATATAACGTGCAACATCATGTGACTGCATTGCTTAGCAACAGCAATCACAGCAATCCTGGATGCCATTGTAATTCAAGGACTACAGAAGTCTTTAAGTGAGGATCTCACGTGACTGCAACATAGGAAGAGGTGAGAGTCCCAGGCCAGCAGGCAAGAGCTACAGGTGGATAGACGTCACAGAGCATGGGATGGGGAAAAAAGCAGCGGGAACAATTTGTGACCTCCTACATCTGCAGGCTTCTCTGTTTGACTTGCTTTTAGGAAGCCAATATAGAAGTTTGCAAATGGCAATCACGTGGCTGATGCTGCAACTATTGTTAATTACGAGCCAGCTGCGAAGTGCCCGAATCACAATCACATGACTGCGGGAACATGGAATAGCTACAATTCCAAGGACTGGTCGTTAAATTCCCCTCAATCGGTATCGTTGTAACTAAGAACAGTTGCTGAAGGAGGGGTCATAACCCGAGAATTACCTACAGTAAGATGTTCCCCTCTATAGATAGTTTAGCACTATAACGTTTTTAATTATTCTTTACATTTGGCTGCATGAGCTGGAAATCAACAGGAATTAAATTTTCATCCACCCAAAATTTCTTAAGGGCACAAGATTGTTAGTGCCTGATTTAGGTCCTCAAGCCTCAGCCTAATCCTAAAACATGCACCCTTCCCATGCTAGGAATTGATCGCTACGGAGGATTTCTTACCTTGACTTGATAAAGAATCTGTATTGGATCAACACCGTGATGAGGAAGAACACAACTCCTTCTATAGCCATGGCAAAAAGGTTCCTCCCAACTAGGTTCCAGGAGAGAGGGGAGACAAAGCGATTCTCACCTGGTCAGAGAGAACAGATAAATTGGTTCAGCCTTCCCAAGAAGCCACTGCTGTGTATATCCATCATTACGTAGATGTTTCAAATAAAATATACCAAAATTAAGTGGTAAATTAATATTGATTGGGATGTAGAAAGCCTAATTCTATTCCTTTCATGGCTAGAAAACATTACAAAACAGACATTGTAGGAGAAGAGGTCTGTTAGCCTATGATAGCCAAACAGAATGTGCCCAGTAGCACCTTTTCTGACCAAAAAATATATATTTCAGGCTATCTTGAAATGTCTCAACAAATGCAACAGCTTTTTCATATATTAAAAGGGTTAATTGATGAAGGAGTTGTAATCTATTTTACATGTAATCCAGTGGTGGGATTCAAAAATTTTTACTACTGGTTCTGTGGGCATGGCTTTGTGGGTGTGGCATGGCTTTGTGGGTGTGGCTTGGTTGGCATCGCAAGGGAAGGTTACTGAAAAAACCCCATTCCCTCCCCACCCCACTAACCTGCTTTCCAGCTCCATTTTCCTATTCAGGGCAACAAAACAGCTGGGATACAGCAGGGCAGAGCCAGCCTATTTGCCAGTTCTCCGAACTACTCAAAATTTCCACTACCGGTTCTCCAGAACTGTCAGAAGTGACTGAATACCACCTCTGATGTAATCCATATCTACCTAATCACCCCACCTTATTTTCTCTTTTGCTGTTCCCCTCTGCCCAAACCTCCTCAGTTTAGCCACTCCAATCATCTGAGCTGAGCTGTTATTCATGAAAGCCTCTGTCTTTTTGATAAAACATGTTAAAAGGATGCTACCAGATTCCTCCCTTCTGCTTTAAGGCTTAAAAAATAGGAAGAAAAAGAGAATGTAACACACTGCTGGCCCAGCTTGTAAAAGCCTAAACTGTGTGAGCAACATCTTACTTACCAAACCTTTCGAGGGCATCTGCCATTGCTTGGTTTTTCACCATGTCGATTAGGCCCCGCCCCAAGCAGAAGTGTGGAAAGATGAGGAACACGGACTTAAGGATGTCATTGATGTTGTTGAATTTCTAAAGGACACAGAAGCCAAGGTGATCAGCAGCTTGAACATTTACAAACAGGACAGATGTCAAAGGCCGCAGATCTACAGCTCAGAAACCATTGAAAGAATTATACAACTATAAGACTTAAATGATTTAAACCAGTCCCTTAAAAGGTTTAGGGAAAAGGGATAACTCTGCCCCTTCCTCTGATTGATTTAATTTCTAAATCGATCATCTGGATAAAAAGGAACAAAGTGGTGTTCCTCTTTGCTTTTCAAAATTCAAAAGGATAGTCTGGCTTGGGACAGGATTGGCAAATCTAACAACAGAGCTAGGTTCTGGGTTTTTTTTTTTTATTCTACTATCTAAGTGCTGAATTGACATAATTCCAGCCTCAGTTTAAATGTAAGCTCCGTTTTAATTTCACAACTTATGCTTACTCACTCAAAATTACAGATTTTTGACAGTGGTCTCTATAGGATGCTCCTACTAGTAGAGAAGATAATTCACCCCTTCCCTGAAGCTTTCTAAACAACTTAAGAATCGAGAAGGACGACTACTGAGGGAGATACCAATTTCTTCCCTGATTCTTCTGTTGCAAAAGACTTCTATTAAAGTCTTCTACCAACTGGCTAGATTTCTCTTGCTTCTGAATTAGCATAAAGGTAGTCTTCTACCGTTCCCCAATAGTACAAAGGTGTATATCTCCTGTTGCATTCATAAATTCAGATTCTCCCCCTTTCAATTACACCTTTATAAAAGATTGTGCAATTGGAAGAAGTCCTAAGTGTGGTAACACAAATATGCCTTGCTTTCCACATTCATCCGACTCAAAATCACAAGAAAATCAATTCTGCAGAAAAACCTAATGCCACTGTTTGTTTACTCAGTGAGAACTCACAGAGCTGGTGAATAGTTCAAGGACGAAAGTGATTACGCTTGCATTGATGCCAATGAAGAGGTTGACGCTGGTCAGCACCACGTATGCTGTGCTAGGAATCTTGAATATAAAAGATGCTGGGTACATGAGAGGAGTTATGGACCACCTGGCAAAGAACAGAAAAAGGCATTGAGGTTTCTTCACCTATTCCACCAGTGGTAGCCCATACCTGAATCAAAAGAGCCTTCCTTACCCATAGAGCAAAAGTAGAAGTGCTAACACTGGGAGGTTGGTTGAGGATACATAGGATTTCTGCTGGAAGCAGATAAAGATGATGACAACCAAAGTTGCTGGAATGATGTAGTTGCACTGTAAGTTTCAAAGAAAAGAAGAAAAGAGAATCAGAAGAGCTCCAGATTAAAAGATGCAAATGATTATAACATTTAAGTTACAAAGGAGATGGTCATGGCAAGCTTTTCAAGCATTAGATCTTCTCAAGCTAATTACAATGAGACAAAGGTGATACAAATTGATCAGAGTATGAGGACTTGATAGAACCACAGAAAAGGAGATAGAATGTCTGATATACCATATTTTTCGGACTATAAGACACACTGGTGTAAAAGACGCACCAAGATTTCGAAGAGGTAAGTAAGAAAAAAAGTTTTTGTCCTTCCCGGCCCCCAGGAGCACTCTGCAGACTTCAGCAGGGCTGGGGGAAGGAAAAAAATGCCCCTGTTTTTGTGAAAAACGGGCAGAAAATGGCCCATTTTTTGCAAAAATGGCAGCATTTTTGCCTTCCCCAGCCCTGCTGAAGCCTGTAGAGTGCTTCTGGAGGCTGAGGGAAGGCAAAAACATTTCTGTTTTTGCGAAAAACAGCCCATTTTTTTGCCAAAATTGAATGTGGGGGCAGGGCTTCAGGAGGCCAAAAATGGCTGTATTTTGTGTATAAGACACATCAACATTTCCACTTTTAGGGGGAGGCAGAAGGTGTGTCTTATACTCAGAAAAATATGGTACTTCATGATCCAAAGTGTTTGGGGGTTGCATGTTTGCGATTCCTTTTTTTAATTGGCTCAAATCCCAATCTCCACAAAGTCTTCTTGTTGTTTTGAATGCAATTTATATCAGCTTTAAGATTCAAAGCATTCTACTTGCTAGCGCCACAATGGTTACATCAAGTCTGAACATTCTTACAGACACAGGGCTGGGACATGGCTGAAATTGTAATTAAACTGAATCTCATCAGGGTTACTTAGTCTCATTTCTAAATTATCAGTACTGTAGCACTACTATCCTCTATATGGTTATTGCAATCTATCCTTGAAATGCAGTGTAGAGGCTGGCTTCTGATATTTAGAGAATGTGCATTCCTATACCAACATCAACTATTTCTGGTCAGGTACTACATTACTCTTTGACAAGCCAGGATCAAGCCAAAAGGATCAAAGTTCTGCATGGCAACTGCATTCTTTCAGACTATGACCAAAAGGAACAGAAACTAAAAATGTCAAATAGATGCAGCCTTACCATATCCCATACAAAATTGGCCGCCCAGTAGATCACTGGTTTCACACCACATATGAACTGGAGATGCTTGGCTTTGCTGACACGCTCCTGGATTAAGAAAACCACAAAGCTGGCTGGAACAAAGGACATGGCGAAGATGACACAAATGGAGACCAAAACATCCACCGAAGTAGTCATCCTAGTAAAAAGAAAGATGGAAAGGTGACAAATTGATTTTTGACTTGTTCATCCAGATTCTTAATTAAGTATATCTTTAGAAACAGGACAACTTTAATTGAAATCTTGGTTTATATTGTTGGAACTACCATATTTTTTGGAATATAAGATACACCTTTTTCTCCCCTAAAAGGGTGAAAATTTGAGTGTGTCTTATACACACACACTGACTACAGTAACGCGCTCTACATGGGGCTGCCCCTGGACTACAATTGGTCCAGAATGCAGCCGTGCGAGCGATACTGGGTGTACCTAGATACACCCATGTTACACCTATCCTCCGTGAGCTGCACTGGCTCCCTATTGGTCTCCAAACACGCTTCAAGGTGCTGGTGATTACCTTTAAAGCCCTACATGGCCTAGGATCTGGATATCTCCGTGACCGCCTCCTGCAACATACCTCCCAGCGCCCAATAAGATCGCACAGGGTGGGCCTTCTCCGGGTACCATCGACTGCACAATGTCATCTGGTGGCTCCTCAGAAGAGGGCCTTCTCTGTAGCTGCCCCGGCCCTCTGGAACGAACTGCCCCCCGAAATCCGGACCCTCCCCCCACTCTCTTGGCCTTCTGAGTCTGTTAAGACCTGGCTGTTCCGGCAGGCCTGGGGCTGCTGATCTTGATTGACCTTCAGCCCCACTATGATCGAGTGCATGTTGTGTTCTGTTTTAATTTGTTCTGTCTCATATTTAAAAATTTTAATATCTTCTTTTTTAAACTGTCTTTTATGTAAGCCGCCCGGAGTCCTCCGGGATTGGGCAGCATACAAATCTATTAAAATTGACAAATTGACACCGAATGTAGCCCCGCCCATCCTCTGGCCCCCATCTTTTGGCCTCTGTCTCCCAGCAATTTACCTCCTTGCAGCAAACTCAAATAATGGGGCTTGCGGAGGCGGCAATTGGGAGGCTGGCACTGAAATTTATAGTGAAACTTCCTGTTTGCTGCAAGAAGGCAAATTGCTGGGAAGCAGAGGCAGATTCCCCCCCACCCCGGCTGTTTTCCTTCCCAAAAGCTAGGTGCGTCTTATACTTCGGAGCATCTTATACTCCGAAAAATACGATACATGGATACTTCCAACTTCGTGTTCTTTTGATCACGAGAGATATATTTTCATTTCCCCTCTCTCTTCCTTTCCCTTCCACCCCTTTGTTGTCATTGCAGGACGTACAGGGCAACTTCAGAGAGCTGCTGCTTGGTGAGGTTCAGTGGGTGATTGAAGACCGTTATGCCATAATTGCTTGGATTCTCTCCATCTTGTAGGTTGGCACGGAGAATGGCATTGTTGATCACATTGATAAAAGCGCCGACAGCATGCCAGCCTTTGTTGTTGAACCACACCTGAAAAAGGAAACATCTCGTTTTAACGGAGAGAACATTAGTCATTTGGTAGGAAATCTCAGATTTGAGGATCAAAATCATAGGATCCTGTTGGCTTCCTTTGTGCGTTTCAGTGTGACAGTATTTTGCATATGAGAGACTGCACATAATTATAATTATATGAAATGGGAAGTTAATTTTAATTAGTATTTATAATATACTGATTATTTTTTTGCCTCCGGCAAGCTTTTTCTTGGTTTCCGGTATATACAGATATCTAAATGTCTACTGATATGAACAAATTCCATGAATGGATATTTCTGGCAGGGCATATAATTGGGGTGATTGGTTTCAGATAGAGATTACAATTTTAGGTTAACAAGGTGAGGAAGCTGGGCAATGCAATTGACTGTGTTTATAATTCATATGTTTTGTATATGTTCGTTCTAAGTTTTGTTGGAAGACTGTCTTCCAACAAATTCAGGATTGTCTTAGATATTTATAACCACCATAGATCTGTTGGGTCTGATGAGACCGACAGAATTATTTGTGCGTTATAGAAGGTCACTCTTTATTGCTTAGTATGAATCACATTTCTGGTTGTCTTTTCCCAGCCAAGAATCATATCCACATCAATAACTCGTACAGGAACATACAGGTAGTCCTCACGTAACAATAGTAATTGGGGCCAGCAACTCTGTTGTTAAGCGACATGATCACAAAGCAAAACATCACATCACTACACTGATTTACAATGGCAGTAGCGATAGTTCCAGTTGCCATTGTTACGTAATTGCTCTTAATGGCAATGTCCTTAAGTCACACGATTTATCATTTGTGACCTGCTGTTTTCCCCATTCACTTCGTTTGTAAGAAGCCAGCAGTGAAGGTCATAGATGGTGATCACATGACACAGAATACTGCAAAATTTCAATAGCCCGAATCACAATGCCCTGTGACCACAGGGATGCTGTGATGGTTGCCACCATGAGGAAGGGTTGTAAGTCCACTCATTGAGTGCTGTTGTAACTTCAAACAGTAGCTGAACAAGTACTCACTGAATGTAAAGGGCTTTTTGAAAATAAAATTTTACATCACAAAAGTAAACCATGTGGATATCACAATGAAGTATGTTTTTGATTTTAATTCCAGACATCCCACCCACCCCTAAATTTGGAGAAACACTATATGGTGGTTCAAGATGTCTAAGCAATATGGTCCTGAAATCAGCCAAGTGGAATTCATACCTTAATATTTTTACTTGTGTCCAAGCCTTTCATGAAGTTCCGGAAGCTGTTCAGAAACCGTTCGGCAGCACTTCCCTAAAAATAAAAATGAAACTTTAAAAATCCAATTAAAAAAAAAACTCCACTGATCTCCATGTAATGTACTCCTTAGTAATAGCAATAGCAAAAGCACTTAGACTTATATACTGCTTTACAGTGTTTTTACAGCCCTCTCTAAGCAGTTTACAGAGTCAGCCTATTGCCCCCAACAATCTGGGTCCTCATTTTACCCACCTCGGAAGGATGGAAGGCTGTGTCAACCTCGAGCCTGGTGAGTTTCGATCTGCCAAACTGCTGGCAGCCGGTGATCAGCAGAAGTAGCCTGCAGCACTGCACTCTAACCACTGTGCCATCACTCCTCTTCCACTATACTTATGAAGTTATAATTTTGCACAAA